TATATCAAGTGTTACTTAACGATGCTAATTATATTTTGATTTTTTATTGTTACATAACAAATACCAGGGGCTACGCAGCACCAGAATATGCACTTCATGGTATTTTATCAGACAAAGTGGATACTTATAGCTTTGGTATCGTAATTCTTGAAATCATTAGTGGAAGAAGGTGTACTGACATGAACCCTGAAAGACCATCCGTGGATTACCTATTGGAACATGTAAGATACCCCATTAATATTATGCTCCCTTTTCTGTTGGTTTATAGAAAGTAAAGTAAAAAAATAATACTTAAAATAAAAAAAAATAAGAATCAAGAATAAAGAGAGTTGAGATTTGAAGGGTTTTATACAGAAAAATCTTAATATTTTGAATTTTTTTTATAACGTGTTAAATGTTTTTTTAACAGAAAAATCTCATTATTTTTATAGAAAAATCACAGAATGTTTCATTTCCTTTTAAAATAAAATAAACTTAACTTTTTCGTTAATTTAGCCAAAATGTTAAATAATCGAGACTTTTGTATTAATTTTTTTCAGGATTTTATCAAAAAATTTCCCAAACTAATATAATTTTTCTGCAGAAAACCCAACGTTTGAATTTTAAGATCAGGTCTTGAGACCGTTTTAGACTAAACTCTTCTACATCACTCACACATACATACTCATAAAAAAACTATATTTCGGGATGGTTGTCTTATTGAAGCTAGTGTCAATCCTTTAGTGTTATAGTATGCCTTTTCTATCATTAGCTACTTTATATCAAATTAAGAAATCCTGAACTAAAAACTAAGATCGTAGCTACAATGCTTATATTTTAGTAAAAGATAAATAATTTTTAATGCAATAATGTGTTAAGTGTATAGTTAGCCCATAGTTTAGCCTGTTTAGAATTATCGGCTGATGGCCTTGTATGTTTGTATATATATATATATATATATATATACATGTAAAGAGTCATTCACAATAATATGGTATCATAGACTTCCTAAAATATTTCACAAAATATTACCTCTCGGTTGTACCTTTCACGTCGTCTTCTCCTACACCGCTGAAACCCTAGTTGTTTTCGGCTGCCTCTTCTCTTCACCAATGACCACCACTACATCCCTAATATCAAGTCCTACATCCCTCTCATTCTTGACCTAGAACGTTTCAGTTATGATTCATCGAGAGAGCTTATTACCACACATTATGAAGGCTATGAAGTTCTCGATCACATTGATAGCTCATACGATCCCCCTTCTCACAATCATATAGATCTTGAATGGAGGAAAGTCAACTTTATCTTGAAGATGTAATTATATGACACCTTTTCTCAAGATCTTCTTCAAATGGTGCTAAAAAAAGGAATCATCCTCTCGTCTTGTGTGGCTTAACATCTGAAAACGCGTTCGCAACACTAAAGATGCTAATGAGACGCAACTTGACAACAAAATTTGCAATGTCTCCATCCTCTCGGTCATGACGTATTGTTTGAAAATCAAACAAATTGTTGATTTTCTTGAAAACATTGATTTTGACACCAAGGTGTCGGATAGACATCACATCATCTTCACTATCAGCAGCCTCTTGTCTCGTTTTGCATTTTTCGCAAGCATCACCACCCATCGGTCACCATTGCCCTCTTTTTTCATAGACTCGACCCATGCTCTTTGTTGAGGTGAAAATAATGACTCTATCACATCCAATGTCTTCGTTATTTAACATGGATCGTCCTTCATCTACCACGATCATCCATACTAGATATAGTCATTGTAATGATTGCGACCAACCACCATATAGACGCCGACATGTGCCCAACGGAAACACAAAACCATTGAACCAACACCAACCTTGTGGCTGGTTTTTTATCATGTCATCGGAGACCCAACATGAATGATAGAAAGTTGGCCATGCTCCATAGTAGTGGGTTCGAGTTACACCTACCACAATGCATACCATCCTATAAGCTCACACGACTACTATTGTTTTTCCACCATATAGGACAACTTCTATGTTTGAAATTAAATGAAACCTCCTTTAACGTGGTTCGAATCTTATCAGTCAACAACCTCAAGGAAACAAATCATTACAAAACTATGTCTCTAAGTGATTCGTGTATGGGAGAATGGGTTATGGATACCGGAGAAACATGTCACGTCCATGAAAATGCAGTTTTATAGTAGTAAACCACCTCTCATTGGATATGACAGTGACAATCTTCTTTTACTGATCGTTACATCCAACCTCAAGTCCTATTATCCTCAAGTAAATCTGTTTTTTATCAACCGCTTGTCCATCTCTAATATCATTGTAACACCTCAATTTTTAGACTTAAATTTTCATTTTTAAAACTTCCAAAAACATAGTTTCACAACCAAATATCAAGTACAAGTCATCCCAAAACCACAAGTATCATAGTTATCAGAGTACTTAAAAGATCATATCCCAGTAGTAAACTTCCAGTGCATGTGTACAATCAGACCTTCGCTTTCCCATGGTCTTGCGAAGTACCTCCCACATATAAATCAATAATGGTAAGCAAAAACCTAAGTGAGTTCCCCAAGATACCACATACATCACAACATAAATAACATCTATGGGTTATCAACAACCCTAGGGACTATCAACAGTCCTGGTGGACTAACAACACGCCTTGTGGGTTATCAGTAACCCTAGAGACTATTCACGGTCTCAACTACATAATAACAGCACAATATAATAACATCTAGGCCCAGTTGGTCGTTCTAGATACAACTATTCTACCACACATGTAAGGATAAGTGAGGAGACTCACCTGATACTGATGACACGAAAGAAAACCTAGCACCTGAACTGCTAGATCTAGACTCCGCCTACTCAACAAAATAATTAACATTAATTAATAATGAAGGTCCAGAACAACTCACGAGTCCAAAGTCCATGGCTAAATCTACTAAGGGAAAAATGACCATTTTGCCATTCCCTTGGTCCCAAAACCCTAAACTTTGACCAAAGGTCAATGTCAACAAAAGTCAACAGAAAGTCAACACGCAACGAGTACTACACCTAACGTTGGGTGTACTACACCTAACGTTGGGCGTACAACTGACCAAGCATGCGACAGGGTGAAATCCGGCTACACTGTGTGTAGCTAGGAGTACGCACGACGTACTCCACAAACTTCCATTTCCACTTATGTGTTGTCTTAATCCGTTAAGATAATCATTCCAATTACATATCTGACTTATTTGAAACATCTTAATCCATAAAGTCATGGGCTTTAAGACTTTGCATTGCTATGAGAGGCTAAAACATCAATTCATCCATTCCAACCCACTTTACACATGCATGAGTCAATAGGAAATATCAAGCAAGCATTTTTATCAATCTAAAAGCCTTAAGATGCATGAAAGGACAGCTTAAACTCTCTGGAGAGTCCCAAACTCAAAAAGGTCCAAACTTGGGGACTTAAGCTCATAAACCATAAACTAAAGAGATCTAAAAGAATGCTATCCAAGGTATAAGCTTTATAGCTGAAAATGCTGCATAAAGGTGGAAAGATCCTGGATCTCTAATCTTGATAACACCTTCTTCTTCTTCTCTAACATCCTTCTTCAACTACAAGGGCCAAGAACACTCAACACTTTGAAAAAAACACCCACACAAGCCACACACACGAGATTAGGGTTTAATTGAGGGTTGAGAGGTTGATAAAGGTGGCTAGAAATGAGACCATAATGTTCTTTATATAGGGTTCAAATGAATATTAAGGTTTTCTATCTGAGGTTAAACTTTGACCAATGGTCAATGTCAATGAAAGTCAACAGAAACTCAACACCCAACGAGTACATTGGGTGTACTACACCTAACGTTGGGCGTACAACTGACCAAGCATGCGACGAGGTGAAATTCGGCTACACTGCGCGTAGCTAGGAGTACGCACGACGTACTCCACATACTTCCATTTCCACTCATTTGTTGTCTTAATCCGTTAAGACAACCATTCCAATTACATATCTGACTTATTTGAAACATCTTAATCCATAAAGTTGTGGGCTTTAAGCTTTTTCATGGCTATGAGAGGATAAACATCAATTCATCCATTCTAACATACTTTACACATGCATGAGTTAATAGGAAATATCAAGCAAGAATTTTTATCAATCTAGAAGCCTTAAGATGCATGAAAGGACAACTTAAACTCTCTGGAGAGTCCCAAACTCAAAAAGGTCCAAACTTGGGGACTTAAGCTCATAAAACATAAACTAAAGAGATCTAGAAGAATACTAGCCAAGGTATAAGCTTTATAGCTGAAAATGATGCATAAAGGTGGAAAGATCCCGGATCTCTAAGCTTGATAGCACCTTCTTCTTCTTCTCTAACATCCTTCTTCAACTACAAGGGCTAAGAACACTCAACACTTTGAAAAAACACCCACACAAGCCACACACACGAGATTAGGGTTTAATTGAGGGTTGGAGGCTGATAAGGGTGGCTAGAAATGAGACCATAATGTTCTTTATATAGGGTTCAAATGAATATTAAGGTTTTGTATCTGAGCCTAGTATGCCCAGCGTACCATGGGTACGCCCAACATACTAAGTGGTTCTCCACGACTATGCATGGTGCATGCGTACGATGCGCGTACTCATGCGTACACCCCGCATACTGCTTTAGCCAATTGTTCTCTTTTAGGGACTAATTCTGACATTTTAAGGAAAGATTTAGGAATGATAAACGTACCTTATTTCGGGATGTTACAATCATATCTTGAAGTATTTAGCTTAAAAGAATTCCATATCATATCATCATATCATCATATCATATCATCTATATATCTATATTTATATTTATATCATATCATATCATATCATATCATACTATATTAGGAAGCATTTTTTCTTTCACCACATTCATTTGAAACTCTCATGTATTTTTTCTTTCACCACATTCATTTGAAACTCCCATGACTTTTCAATTTCTTTCTAATAATGATTATAAGTTGGTTAATAAGATTAAATAAATATCAAACCTAAAGTGTAATCATATATAAACCAAATGTCAATATTAAAAGAATATCTTTACTTCTACTTATAAAGTTATGTTTTTTTAACTTTTAACATGTTATACTTAATTTATTAGTTTTAATACATTGGTGGATGGAAACCATTATCATTTCAAAGCTACAAGTTTTAAACAATTTGTATAAAATACTTAAATTATAAATTTAAATATAACATTAGAGGATCAACTTAAATATAAATTTTAATTTAACTTAAACAACCCAAAGAATATTTTATAAATAGTTAAAA